ACATGTATTGGACGTTTTGTGACACATCTTCAATGGTTCTCCTTTCTATATGAAATGGGAAAGCTCATAAGTAATCCCTTCCACCTATTGAAAACACGCCACCCCCCGCAAAAAAAGAAATGTGTGTGTGTGTGTTTTTTAATAGGGGGTCCCTGAAATAGGGGTTGTCCAAAATATGGTCAGTGGGAGGATCCTTTTGAATAATCATTGGTTGCATATGACAACACCGAAAAGCAACCCAGAGATGTTTTTAATGACGTCCTTTATTAAACTCGAATCAAAAATTGAAAAAAATAACTCCAGATCGAAGGGTTCCCCCTTTTCCCTTTAATTCAATTAGTGAATTAAATAGTGATTATTCTTTAGACTAACAACTAAAGTACTAAAGCTTTCGAAAGGTGATGTCGCTGTGCCATGCGGTTTTGTGCGGCCTCGGTGGCAAGTGCATTTGCGTGAGTCCGTGCCATTGGGGGAAGGAAAACCTGCTGCTGGAGACGTGGTGTGTCATGGTGGACAGAGGTGAGCAGTTAGGGTTGGTTTTGGAACCTCATAAATAGAACTCCATCAAAGTCGACCATGTTGGTGGTTTAGTAGCGTCTTTAAAGGGCGGCAAACTAAAAAGCACACATACACCGTATATACGGGTCTCCGATATGATTCTCTTGAAATTGGGGGGGCGCTTTTTCAGTGGTACTCGGGCCTCGGGCTTACGGTGCTCATCTGTGAGATTCTGTGAGCAGTTCTTGTTTTGTGTGCTCTTCATCGCAGCTACGGGATGCCATTGCAACGGCATTGGTCAACCATTCTGGGCCACAAATGGGGAAGACCTTGATCAGCCTTGATCTACCCGCTCGGATTCAACCCCTTCATAACCCCATCTACAGATCTACAATCATCACAACTTATTTTAACATTCCTAGTTCAGCAGCTGGCCGGCCCACTACTTTCACTGGTTGCCATGTGTTGGAGGGGGTTTTGGATGGTTTTAGGGGATCTCTGTGTTGGTTGTCGAAGGCCCGGTCCCTTCTGGTTCGAACACGCCTCGCACTCCTTAGGCTTGGCGGCGCCGCCCGGTTCGAGGCGGGAGAGTGGGAGAGATCCACCAGCGAACCATGCGTGGCTTTAAACATGTATATTTTGAAGGGCTCAAGAGGGGCTCCCAGGTCGTCTAAAAACCAGGTCCGGTGGTCCCGTGACCTGGCAGGCCAGGCTCAGGCGTTCCGAATCGCCGCTCCATTCCCTTTATGATGCAGTCGTGGCTCGGCCGGAAGCAAGCGCTTATGGAACACCAGGACTGTTTGGTCCTGGCAGGACAAAACCCACAGGAACAGCATCCCCAACAAGATGTTCAATCACTTAGTATAGTAACTTGCTGAGGGAACAGGCGGGGGAACTGGGGATCGAGATCCCCCACAACCCTGTGGACCGGTCCGCTCTCGCGGCCCGCGGTGTGTGCTTTGCTGTGCTCCGCGCTCCTAAGGCGGCAGACCCTTCCAGGCAGCTACGTTTCAAGACTCAGAGATGGAAGGGGTGGGAAGGGGGCTACGTCCCAAGGGGTAGGTCGAGTGATCAGTGATCCAGGATCCAGACAAGGGAAGCGACCTGAAGTGAAGGATGTTAAGTAAGTTATGTGTGTGAGTGTCATTTGGCTTTGTCATTTTCTACCAGCAAGCCGAAGCACGTCCTTGCCGCCTTTCTCGTTGCTTTAGCTACACCAGACTGTACAAGACTGGCAGGTGGTGGAAGGAGGGATCGACGATAGCGGCTTGACGACCACTCTCCAAGTGCACAGGCAATGGCGACTGCAGGGATTCAATCCAAGAAAAGACATGTTGAGACAGCCAGAGGCTGGGACAAGCCAGCCAGCACATCCTGACAGAGTTCAAAGACATTATGAGAAATCCAAAGCATCCAATAAGTGCAACATTGTAGGACATCCGGGGATTCTGGAACATCCCACAATATCTATGACAATATCCAAGACATTATGGGATATCCTGATATCCATCATCTTCATTGTTTCCTCATTTACCGCTTCCCTTGTTCAATGACCGTTAACTCGCCACCGGGTCAGCCATGGATAGATCGTCCAGGCTGGTCAGTGCGGTGCAGCGGCGTAGGGTTATAGAATTAATTTTTGCAAGTCAGCTTCTCCATGTGATATAGAATTTTTGTTGCGAAATAGTTCGAGTGCATGTTAGTTTGATTTGATGTATGTAAGGTTGCACACTTAGCTTCTGAAGTTCCGGAGAGGTTCAGGTTTTGGACATGAGTTTACGTTGAAGATAGTGTTCTTCTGGGATGTCAGACTATTCTAGCGGCGCTGATTTCCGTCCCATGCTGCCAAGCTGACACCGACCGTGATTGGTGATCAGATGTGATCAGTGATCAGTGCTGATGATGATCATCATGATAATACGTTTCAAGAACACGTCCAACTTCACAGATCTAAGACAACAAAGTCCTTTTTGCACTAGCTGGTCTTCACACTTTTTCGCCTGGTCTTTCAGCTTGGCCCAAGTCACCTTTTTTGCACCACGCCTGGTCCACCGGTGGCGCGAAATACCGCGTCCGGTCTCCAACGATGGACGGTACGTCCAAGGGAGGCATGGAAGCGGAACACATGAGCATCGAGGCACGCTTGGATCAGCTGTCCATCAAGATGGACCAGTGCTTGGAGGAAGTGACGAGACCACGATTTTCCAAGCCATTTGGAAGTGTAGACTCTTGATGAATAAACCCCACATGTGAAGAGGCTTTACAATCCAAACGGGTGTACGCCTTTTTGATCAAGAGTCTACATTAGCTTACTAGCTACCCATAGAAAATAGAACAATAGAGAACAATAACGTATGTTTTTGCCCTGTGGATGGCCATCCCACAATTTGGTGGAAGGTTGGGTGATGTTCTTATTATTCTAACGCCAATGTGAGTGTGCATTAACATAGGGAGACCCCCCAAGGATCCCTGGAAGAAAATAGATCCAAAACCCCATTGGTTAGTGACCTCCCTAATGAAAAACTACACACAACCAAAAGAACAATCCAGACATTGTTTTCTTTTGCCCATTTCGATCCATGTTTGGGTGAGGACTCATCACCTAGTACATCGTTTGGTTCTGAATTTTCTAACACCCATGATGTTATTTACTGTGATCCACATGGGTATCAGTGAGAGATCCAATATAGCTCCTGGGTCTCCACAGACCAAGAGGCCCACGCATGGGTATCACGGTCTCACCCAATTCGATCACCCGTTTTTGTTGATGTCTTTGCCTCGAACCAACCGCCTTAGGTGAAGGCAATGAGCCGCAACCAGCTCGGAACACGTGGCTCGATCCCCATGTTACCGGCCTCACGTTTGCAGAAGCAGACCTCGGATGAGACAGGCGCGTGGTCTTTTTTCAAGAACAAAAGGAGAGATCAACAGGTTCCGGGAGGGAGTTTCTCCGTTCGCAAGACGTCGATGTTTCTGTTGCTGCACAACCCTTTGGAGTCGAAGCTATCAGAAGCTCAGAAGCGCTCCGCGGATCGGACGAGTCGATGCCAGGCTGAGCGGTCAGAAGTGGAGTCTGTCGATTCTTGGAACCCCACCCTCAGGTGTTCAGTTGAAGGATCTACTCGTACCTGGTTCTCTGGAAGCAGCGGCATGTATATAACACTCATGGAACCACAAACGTCCTAAAACCGTGGTCGACCTGTCTTTCTGGCTGGTCGGTCATTGTGGAGGACCCCTTCCTGATGCCAGGTCACAGTCAAAGGACCAGCCGATTCTCCTCGGCCTCGCAAGAGCATCACGAGCATGGATCTCCCACAGCTGGACGCATCACGATGAAAAACATTGACCTGCAACAGGCGAGCGAAGAGTCAGCATCCCTTACTGCGCTTACTGTGGACTGTTGATTGATCGCCTGCCAGACATGGATGGTCAAACCTCTTCATATTGGGGGGTCATCAAGAGTCTACATTGTTAGGTTCTGGGTGACCTGGATGCCTACTCCATCCATCTCACCACATCTCACCGCCCGCTGAGTCGTGGAGGCACCCTCCATCAGGACACTCCATTCTCCATTCTCTTTCAGAGGAAGACATGGGCCTACCACGCGGCTATCATATCTTAATGGGCGCCCTACTCAGGCCTATTGTTGGAGGGGATCCCCAGAGTCCTGCATCTTTGGCGGACAAAAACTCTGCGCTGCGCGCGCAGGCCTACAAGTCCTATGCGAGCAATATTTCCAACGAACTGGCTGACCTGGAGCTGGTCTCTCAAAGAGGCTCCGAGGCATCCTTTCAGGACACATCCGGGTCCTGCGTTGCGGGTCCGACGCATCCACAACGTGGGTCCTGTGGTGTCCAGACTTCCTGGTCAACCGATACCTTTTCAGAGTAATGGCACAAACCCCGCCATGGATTCTAGATGGGGGGTCCATATAAACCACCTTTTGGGGGATTGTGCCATCCACTCTCCATCACATGCTGCCCACGGCAAAGCAGAGAGTTTGGACCTTGCTTTCTCCCTTGCACCATCTTGTGCCAATGACTGACTGGGGGTGTGGCACTTGTTTGAGCCAAACCATGTCATGATGCTGGGTCGGTCAATATGGGGACACAACAAAGCAAAGGATATGGATGCCGTGTTGAAGCTGATTGGAGCTGTTTGTGCAAATTCTGTTTTGTCCCGTTTGACTTGATAGATCGTTCGCGAACGGCTTTTGAATGTCACTTTGATCAATAAGAATAAGGTACATACATAAATGATGTTGGGCCAACCTCAAGTTCTATATGATATAGGCCGAGTTATAGGCCATGTTAGCTGGAGTGCATATTGCCATGTGTGCATTCTATTCTGCTTCTTGGTGTTTTGGCCCTCACGTGAATGTCAATAGGTTTGCTCACGAAAAACCATGGAGTGTGGACGTCATGTCATGTTCTCCCACCCAGCCAGCCACCCAGGTGCCCTTCCCTCCGCCCTTCCAAATCGCTATGTCCCTATATATATATATGTACCAGACTTTGCGTTTGACCAGCTGTCAGGAGCATTGCCAGGGTAAGAAGTCGGTGTTGCGGGTGGTCCGGCGCACGCGGCTGGACTACATTTGGGAGACCTTGGATGACCCCAACTCCTCCAAAACAGCATGGTGGCTCTCACAGGCGTGGGCAGTCACGAGTGGGTTGTGTGGCACACTGCTCTAGAGCTTGGACAAGTGCGCAAGGGAAATGTTGAATTGATACCTTGGTGGCGTCCCATTACCTGTAACCTTCCTTTACCAACCATCATCCACTGTTACAGGCATAGGATATACCCAATCATGACCAACCACCAGTTGCCACGCCTGATATGCTCCAGAGATACATCTCACTTTTTGCTCGGTTGCAGCAAGGAATGATTACACCCTGCTTGGATTCCAAGCGCAATTTAGTTTGAGAGCTACACTCAGTTCTGATGGATCCCAAATTTGACGAGGACAGGGGCGCTACTGCTTTCGCCGAAACCCGATGTGAGCCGTCCAGTCCACCTCCAGTTTGTGCTTCTTTGTTCACCCAGGGATGAGATGATTTATCAAGCCTCACTTGACTCAGGCCAAAGCTTCATTCATTACCCAATGGCGACCTTATGTATATGACCTATGACAGCTTAAGACGAGCACACTACAAAGAAAACACATATAGAATGATATAGACTGTTATAGAATTGTTTATATATACCTCTACGAGTATCTCTATGCCAATTGACCCATCCTTCAGTTCTTCGTCGTTTGGAGTGACGGGTTCCCCGGCCACCGGGAATCCCCAGTCACTGGGTGGGCGCCGAGCGGCCAGGCGCAGAGCTGCCTGGTGGTCTTCACGATCATTTTTGGCACCTTGAAGGCCACGGAAGAAGAGGTGCTGGATCCGTTGACAGAGCCTCGGGTTAGAGCGGTTGCGAGGGGTTTCTGGGGTGAAACGGATGAGTGAAGTTCTGTGCCAGGGTTAGAGCCCCCTAGTAAAGAGCTGTTTTGGATCGCTGGCGGTTTAGCCAGATGTGGAGCAGGTAGGTGGTGGACAGATATAAATGTTGATACTCAATTGGTGGCATTGAATTAGGTTCGTTTACTTGAACTTGAGCCTGTAACCTGGATTTTGATGTGATGGGCTTGATGCCCTTGCGTCCTGAGCTGCCTGCACGTTTTTGTGTTTTCTTCACAGTACCCCAAAAAGATAAACTAAAGTAGTGTTATTTGGCGTGTTGTGTTCTATTTGGTGTTCTATTTGCAAGCATTTGCTGTGTTCTATTTGGCGAATCAATGACAGCTTCCAGACATTTTCTTACTCCGCTTCTATTTGTCTACTCATGTCAACTGTGGTCCACGACCCAGGTGGCAGTGGTGGAAACCTGCTTCGACAGTGTTTTCTGCTTGGAGTTCATCCTGCGCATCATCTCCGCCCCTTCCAAGTTCATGCACCGGAGATGCAGAAAGAGACAGTGACAGATGTGACGAAGGGCGAATGGATGCCAATGATGGCCACATGATTTTCTTGAGTGTGGGGTTTGGTTTGGCGATTTTGGCAGAACGCAGAAAACGAAAAACCTGAACGCGTTTGAAAGACCTGTGGGATTGAGAAGTTTTCATGTTTCCATCCTTTTTGACAGGCCATCCAAGAACAGGTTTTACCTCCCAAAAAGTACGACTTGGCGGAGTAGCTGCTTCAGAATAGGTGACACATGGTGGCACCCTTAGATTTTATAGTTAAATTCCCAGATCATACCAGAATCCAGAGATATATAAATGATTCTGCCTGGAACTTATGTAGAACCATTTTTTGGCACTCTCCGCATCACGGCATGCGTGACTTTTCCTTCTTCACATCGAGGTATTTCACCGATCCAGTGAACATTGCAGACATCGTGTGCGTCCTTGGCCTTCCCCTCCGTGCCAGCATCGGCTTTGTGTACACCAGTGATCCAGAGACGTTGTGGGTGAAAGGCAGGGAGCAGAGACGTTGTGAGTCAAATCTCGATTCGATTTTTTGGACGGAATCATTTTGGAATGAACCGTCTTTTTCAGTGCCCCTTGTGGGGTGCCCTTCCGATGCGTTTTGGGGGGATCGCATGTCCAAATGACCCGATTGGACAACAACTTTGAATCAGCACTCCCTGGATGGGACGAAAAGGCTTCAGATGGTGAATTTGTATGACTTTACATGAAAAACAATTGCTCATGTTTATCTCATGATGCATAACAGGCATAACATGCAACCTGTGATCCCAGGCGTTCAAATCATGCTCATCTTCTTCCTGCCCCTGTTCCGCTTCTTGAAGCTGCTCCGCTACTTCGAAACCACTCGCCTTTTGATTGATGCCTGTGCCAAGTCGGCCGAGGCAGTGCCAGCGGCTTTGCGGCAGTGGGTGGGGATCATGGCCACGGATCCTCGGGTTGTTGGACGATATGTTTTCAGACGGCCAATGCAAAATTCACTATATAATGATTTCAACAATCAGAGAAACCAGGATGAGATAGGAATCGAGAATGGCTCCAAGGAAGCCATACCACCACAATCAGAACACATCAGAACAAATAGGAGTGCAAGGTCAAAAGAACAGTATATACCTGAAACAAAACCAACGAACCAACGGACATAACACAGCTTCCAAAAGTGGGATCGAAGTGCTTTCTGAACGATATCACAACGTGATCAACCTCTTATCCTGTCCACAGTCCTGTCCGCAGCCCTTGCGCCGGGAAACCTTCGACAAGGATCAGGAAGCAAGTTTTACGGCAAGGTTAGGAAGCTGCAAATGTCTCAAGATGTATCAAAGTGTCTCAGTTTCTGCAATTCGGTCCAAGCTGCATGATGCAAATCTGTCACCTTCATGCGCACAGCTACAAAAATTGCGGAGACGGATTCAGACTTATCAGAGCACCCTCCAAGCACACTTGGATATTGAATGAACCACAGGGAGAAATGAGCGGCTCAGTTGTAGAGAGATTAGGCTCCAAGTGGCAAGACTTTCAACAACTTATTTGATAATTAATTCCTTCCTGAAGAAATCCTCGTGTCCTGTGTATCACCTCCTTTTCTCATTTCTAAGTTTACCTTTCGCTTGCTTTTCGTGGTTTTCCTTTTTCTACTATGTTTTGTTTCCTTGCAGTTGTTGCAGTTGTTGTGTTTCATTGTGTTGTTTTGCCAACTCCATGTATCATTCCATGTTATTAAGTTCTATTCCTGTTTATATTGTGTGATTGTGTGTGTGTTTTTGTTTGGCATTCTGCCTATTTTCCACTCCTATGTTTCGCCGTGCTTTCTGTTTTCTCGTTTGTTCTCCGTAGAACTTGCACTAATTGGCTGACATACTGTAACACGACTAAAATACTATATCTCATGAATGTGTAGCTTAGATGGCCCGTGAATGACCCCAAAGGAGAGTTTAAACATTGAAGTTGAAACACGGCATCAACTGGACAACATGTCCTCCTTGGGCAACCGAATAGATGATGGCGAACAACTGACACCAAGGTCTTGTCGTACATGATGGCGTTGATCGTGTTGGTTTCAGCGACCTTCATCTACTTCTTTGAGGACAGGAACAACATCCCAAGTATGCCACATGCTTTGTGGCTTGCGGTGGTCACCATGACCACTGTGGGCTATGGTCACTTGAACTGGCAGAGAAGACTTATGAACATGCCAAGGGGGACTCGCACCTGGAAGGGAAATATGTCAAAGCAAGGCAAGCCTATAGGACTCAGAGGTTTAAGAGTTGAACACCGGTAGGTCAGGATGGGTTCCCAAGACGATCCATTTGACCAGAGCCCAGAGAGAGATTGCCAGATTCCTGATCAGGAAGGTGGGCGCAAAGAGATTTTTGCGAATTGAGCCACCGAACAGGGAACCACAATTGCAGGGAGCTGGGCCGTTAGGCCCTAATCTACCTGGTCCCTACCTGTTTGGGGTGACTTCCCGAAGATCCGAAGAGGTGACTACTTCCCCAAATCCTTGGGGGGGCTACCTGACCGTCGCTGTGCTGACCTTCATCAGCGTGGTCTTTTTGGCATTGCCCGTGGGCATTGTGGGCTTTGAGTTCCAAAAGTCCTGGAATAGCCGAGGACAGCAGCGGTAGGGATGGGATGGGGGCAGTGGGCCAAGGAATGCCAACATGTTTGTTCAACAAAGGCTTGGGCCTGGGCCTTATATGGGCATGACCAGAGATAGTTTGTTGAAGATGTTCAAGCCCACAAGCAAATTGACAACATTTATATACTGGTACTGGTAAAGACTCATCCAAAGTTCCCTTGGGTTGTCCTTCGATGTTTCATTTGTGTTCTTTTTGCGGTTCTTGTAGGGTTTCATTGAATACACAGATACGCATGCATCCATCCATACATACACCCATACACGCATACACATACACACAGTATACACATTCCAAGAACTCACAGGTTTGTTTGTTGATTGGTTGGTTGGATGTCCAAGTAACACCTGTGGAAAGTTTGGCTGCCATGTGGCACATCCCGAAAGAGAGTGAAGATGGTTGCTCATCCGAGCAGCGAGGCCACATGCTTCTCCTCACTCGGCTCCGGAACAATCTCAGCAAATGGCAATTCAACGCCGGGGACGTGCAGATCTTGATGCAATATGCGGATGTCGATGGTGATGGCCGGTTGACCTTAGGAGAGTTTCCCGGAGAAGTTTTCAAACAAAAACTTAGACGTGGCGTTGCAGAGGCGGAACCGTCCACAGGAAATCATCTAAACCGTGCGTGTTTCACTTCGATTGCTGGGTGGGTCCATGGCTCATCGGTCGAGGTGGGGACCCCCAACAAAGGTTGACTTGAGAAGATCCTTCAACTGGGAGTTGGTGCTTTGCATTTTTTGGGAGATCCCATGGACAGCTAGTTCGATCTACCCGCAGGGACACCATGGGACAGCTCTTTTTTTGCTGTTTCTTCGAGGTTTGTGGAGCTGATTCGGCAGATGAGAATCGGTGTCAGCAGGGAGCCTCTTTTTTGTGCACTTCAGCGGTTTCGGGTTCTTCACTTCAGCGGTTCCGCGTTGAACGGGGGGTGCACATGTTTGGCTCGAAAACACAGCAAACATCAACTTGAGATATCTTGAGATTTGGAGTTCTGTTTGCAGTGATGCTGCATCATGCTGATGCTGGTTCAGCACTGGGTATATATTATATATTTATATATTTGGAAATAGTCTTATTTCTTGAAGCACATGAACATAGTACTAAACAGGTTGAGTTTCAACATGAGAGTGTGGGCTTGATGACGATCGCCAAACCAGATGCCATGTGACATTGATGCAGAGCTCATTTTTTGGGGTCCGCTTACCCTTCGCTGTTTTTTTTGTTGCTTGTCATGGGGGACAACGAACGACTCACCCGAAACTTAAATCATGGAGACACTCCAGATGAGAACATGCGACATCAGGTGGAACGGGTAGGTAGCATTCGAATGGTTTTTAATCCCAAGTGGGATTTTATTGGCAGAGGAAAGCTCAAAGCATCGTTGGTGGGGGATTTGGACAACGGGTTGTGAGGGACGTATATGTATATATTCCTTATTTACCACTCCCAGTCCATGTTAAGAACGCAATCCAAAATGCACATTGGTGGTTATTACCTGGTTTTCGCCGGACAGGGACCAGTGGTGGGTGGGGTTGAGAATTTTGCCAGTCTTGAATGCCATGCCCAGATCCATCAGCATGGGCCCAACAAGAACAACAAATCTGGTCGCACACGTCATCCAACACTAGTGACAAATTCGATCAAGTCCAGTCATCTCCAGTCCAGTCTCGTGCCGTGGTCCTTTTGGAGCATAGAGCGATCGGTGCGACCTGTGCCCAGGTCGGCTGCAGAGCTCTTTACGCTGCTGGACGCGGACTGCAATGGTTTCGTTGACGAGGAAGAGTTTATTCGAAGCGTCTTACCAGATGAGTACATCAAGGACTGATCTGCTTAATTTATGTCTCAGCAAGAGCTGCCAGGGGTTGGTCTGTTGGTTGGAGGGTGATGCACAATTCGCCCAACTCCCCACTTGTTGGTAGGCTCATCCAGCCAGGCGGTTCAGGGACAGGAGGGGGAGTGAATGCAAAGGGAAGTCAGAGGATGCTGCGGATGCTATGTGTGTTTCAACGCGTGCCACTTCAGGGCAAAATGTTGTTTGGTAGTTGGGTCAGTGACCGCCCTTCCAATGGAACAAAACTGAAGGAGGTGCAGCGGTCCCAGCGGGAAGCTTTGCCGGAATGCAAGATGCTTGAATTCAATGTCAATGGACACGAAGGAGGTCTAACGTTCATTTAGCAAGGGACGTTCACGACTACAGTACTTGTACCCGGGAACATGATGAAATACTCTTCAGCAGACATACAGACCCCCCAAAAAAATCGACGGTCCGTGCTAACCATATATGCCTTACTAGGCGTTGTTCCATGTAAGCAGGAAAAAAAAGGCCCCCACAGGGCTAACATAGCTTGCGAACACGATCAGAGGAATGCCTCCCGACTGCCTCCCAGGATTCCATGTTAGTTCGTTTTTGCCGTGGCATGTTCCATGTTAATGTATTTTTCACAGCCCAGGGGGCCGGCATACCCAGATGCTGCACAAAAACCTTTTCCTTGAAGGAAGGCAAACACAAGGGACATAGACTCCATCATAGACACGCCAGTGGTGGCACAGTTGTACTATGCGGGTACAGATGTGCACTGTACTGAGTCTGAGTCACAATGATGGATTGTGTCACAAATGCCAAGCAATTACAGTAGAATTGGGAACAGAGACTAACATAGAACTTTGATACTAAGGAGTCGTTTTGGACACGTTTTCTATGTTAAGCTACTTTGGTGCTTGTCCGCGTTCCGTGTTAATGCTGTATATAGTTTTTTGGGATTTGGATCTATGCTTGTTTGCTAACGTGTATGTTTTAGTTTGGTAAGCGTGTTGTGGAACATGCCAGAGACTTAATTTATAATTGAGAGTCAAAATGTGAGCCTCGAGTCTGTTTAAGTTTTTTTTTTTTTTTTTTTTTTTTTTTTATGTTTTCATTTATGTTTTCATTTATGTTTTTTTTTTTAAAATGTTTTTTATGTTTTCTTTGTTTTTTAGTGTTTTAATGTGTTTTAATTGTTTAATATTGCATCTAAAAGACAATATTTAAAAAACAATGTGTTTAACACTGCATATATATTCAATATTACACGCTTAAAAAAAATAGACTCTCAAAATGAAATATATATATATATATAGTTTTATATTAATATAGTATTATAAATTTCAATACGCACAATATATTCTTGCAAACGGAGCCCTACGCCGTGAAAACCCTCTCACTTGAGAGATTCTCAAACACAAAGAACGTTGGGCTGTAGGATTGCCAGGCTTCCCATGTATAAGCTGTAGATCTGTCTTGTACGCGGCTACGGCTACAGCTGGCCGTGTCATCTCTGGCTTGCCGGGGACCCAAGGCTTAGACCCTCTACTCCCTTGGCCCTGGCCCTAGCCCCTACTCCTAATCAATCACATGGGAAACAAAACCAACCGATTCGGAACACCACAGTACTATATTTCTATTCGTTTTATAATATTGTCATTGAATTTTTTCATTTTTCCAAGCCAGCATCTCTGGAGTCTGGAGATCTACTCTGCAAAAGAGTCAAAAGAGCCAAACGGTGCAGCATTTGTTGTCCATGAACCTTGAAGAAACTCGATGGTCTCGTGGTTGACTGTTCCGGGTAGGTAGGGCCTACGGCGTACACAGAAGGTAAGGTTTGACCTCTAAGCCTCGAAGTCTCTACGTCTGCGCCCCGCTTGGCTCGTCTGCATTTTGGAAAACACCGTCGGCAGCTCTGGTCCCAGCTCAACAAAAGTGATGGCTACAGCGACAGCTGACAGTTGTGATAGTTTGGTCTCAAGTTACGCAGGTACATGGCTCGGGGCTCGGGACAGCTAGCTAGTTTCACAGAAGGAGTGGAAGTATAAGTATTAGTGGGGCTAATCAGTCAGCAGCTGGGTTTTAGAAAGCAAAGCCGCCGCAACAAAACCGAGCCATTCAGCCGATCAGCTCTTTGGCCTTGGAGAGCAGCACGGGCTGGATCAAATCCTCACCTATCGAGCTGCCTGCCAAATCCATCAGTTGGCTGCGCACTACATCCTTCGACCATTTTGCGCTGGCCTTTCCACCATCCGCGCTCAGGGCGACAGCCAACAATCCTTCGATCTTAACGGCTTGCGCCCGCTTCAACTTCTCAACTCCCTGCTGCGCCACCTCACGCAGGCCATACAGACCTGGCAGCTCCCTCAGTCCAAGGCCGTCGGCATGTGAAAGGAACTTCGAAGAAGACTCCACTGCCTGGAACAGCCAATTTTTGGGGAACCCTCTGTGCCAGAATCACACAACGCACAGGCATAGAATCATAAAACATCACATAATCAGAACCTTTGTCTTTGAATCACTGCACTGGCATTCCCCTTGGCGCTGCAAACCAATGCCCTACACTCCTTACACCCCCTGAAATGCGTGAGCGTGAGACCAGTCCGACAAAAGCTACCAGCTACCAGCTAGCAGCTAGCAGTAGCAGGAGGTACACATACACTTGAATCACTCGAAACCAAAAAACCCCTGGCCGGGCCTGGTCCAAGGTCTTCAACGCCCCGTCAACCAGACCACCATCCAGAGAAGCTAAAGACCCCTCAGCTTTGGTTGCGGCCAAAACGTCCTCCAAGCTGGAATCCCTGCTCAAGCTCGCCTTCCAAGATTGGTCAGCCTGCACAAATTCACAGCAGTAGTCACTAGTCACTAGTCTTGAGTCCACCTGGACCCAAGCGCCAAGCTTCACAAAAATCGACTCCAACGCTGACACTGAGCACAATAAAGTACGACGTAGTGTCAATTAGAAATATGCAAGTGCAGCATATAGCAACACAATGCAAACAGATTAAATTTGAGCCTCGTCCAATTTCTGGGTGGCTCCATCCACCCGACGGAAACTCGACTCAAGAGCCTTTTTGCATCCCACACTGCGGACATTCAGGATGTCACAGAAGTCCTCGTCGTCCAAAACGCTGGCGACCTTCGA